CGGGTTAAAATAAGTTTTGATGGACAAATGTATACCAATCAATCATAAATAGGCATTTTTTAAATTGTTTAATTAAATATTAATTTTGAAATCTATGCAAATTAATTTGGGACATAGTAACCACCTAGATAAAAGATAAGAAGTGCAAAAGGCATTGAAGGAATGATTAAACGAAAAATCTAGGATTGCTGGATTGTTACCGAACAAATTAAATAAGAAAAGGCAGACAAATTTTTCAAGGTATAAAATGATGCAAAGCAATGGAAAACAGGGATGACAAATGTATATTGCCGTACATGCGTATCCTTTCTCTTCCGGTTCCAGGTACATACCAATTAGCCCATGCCAGCCAGGACCCAACCTATGATTATGATTGCGTTAGGAATTGTTGTGAAGTATTACAATTACAATTGTAGTTGTAATTATGTTAAATGATGTTGTATTATACTTGTGATTAAAAGTATTTTAATATTAATCTCTCCCTAAGGTTTTTCCCATGCACTGCTTTTAGGATTGAAAGCAGTAGCAATGAGTTTTTCTCCTTAGGGTTTATCTTTGGCAGAGGAGTTCCTTCATCCCTCCTTTCTTCTTGCCCCTCCTTTCCTCCTTTTGATCTCCTCCTTCATCTTGTCGTTGTCTTGCTTTGGAAACTCCAACCTAAGTGATCACAAGGCAGCGACTTTTTAGGTTTTCTAGGGTTTATATCTATTGATTTTTAAAAATTGTGATTGGAATTGATTTTGCCGGTGAAGTGGGTTTCTCTTATTTAATGGGCAAAAATCTCACTTTGGTGCATCTCCTCAGATGGGATCTTGGTGGCGGTCGAATTTGGTGAATTTGGTTCACTAGTTCTCGATCAGTTAGCCGATTGTTGACGAAAAGGGATTCTGTTGGCGGTAAGGCTAGCTATGGTCGGTGTGGGAAGCTTGATTTTCAAGCTTGTAAAGGAACTCTGGTTCCCTTAATGAGTTTTGACAACATGAGTTTGAAGAAAATTGACAAAGATGGGATTCATAGGAACATAATTGGGAGTATATGGAGGTGATTGAGGGACCTTGTGCTTATCAAGAAAAGGTCTATCTCCTTCTTGGTTGTTCTTCTTTAAGAACAAGTAGGGCGACAACTTATGGGTTGGGGACTATTTGTTACTAGAATCCCTTGCTCTCTCCAATAACTTAGTTAAATAGGTGAAGATGTTCAATAGTTCTTAATAGTCACAATAACTCCCCTTTATGCATTAGTAGTCCTATTTAACCCATACAACGATTGTAAATTCAATCCCTAGTTGCAGATGACTCTCTTTATTTAATTGTCTATATATGTTATAGGCATAATTTAAGTTTGTTACTAGTGTTGTAGGTTATGTTTTTGATTCTATTTTTATGTTATTTCGATTTTGATTATATGTCACGAGATGAAAATTCTGTTGTAATTTTTTAGTACTTAATATATTTTTTTATTTCTCATAAAAAAGTTATTTTAATATTTGGTGTTTTATTTTTTAGAAATATTATGAATGAAATATGATAGATTTTATTAATTATTAATTAAAATTAAAAAATATTATAAGATATATAGTTATTAAAAAAATAACATTTATTATTTTTTAATAATTTAAATTTTTTAGATTTGTTATCATTATTAAAATATTATAAATGAAATATGATGGAATTTTATTATTTATTAATTAAAATTTAAAAAATATTGTAAGATATATAGTTATTAAAAAAATAACATTTATTATTTTTTAATAATTTAAGTTTTTAAAATTTTTTAATTATTAAAGTATTATAAATTATAATGTAATTAAATTATATAAAACTAAGTTTTAATTGGTAATTTTATAATTATATTAAATATTATGTGTTATTTATAAAAATCACAATTAAAAAAATTTGAAATGAGATTTTTAATTTTATATATAAAATTATTATAAATTTATTATATTTTTTACAATTAAAAAAAAATAATTTAAAAAAAATAATCAAATACGTATATTTAAAAATATTATACGATTATAAAAAAAAAACTTTTAATCATAATTTCAAATGAGCTTTATAATCCAGAAATGGTCACAGTTGCCACGTGTCAGACATGGAAGCGGCATCTCTGATCAACGGGACGGTCAGAACTTCGAGACCCAGCGTTCCAATCAAAGCGCGATGACCCACAAACATAGAACAGGAAGATCTGGGACCGTGTGATCAAATCTTCGCCGTATTGCCTAAGTTAAAAGGGGTCGGATTAATGTGCATCATGCACCAGAATATCTAAAATTTTAAAAATTTAAAAATAATAAATAAAATATAAAAAATATAAAAATTAATAAATAGTTTATTAAATTAATCCCATGCCTCAGCACCACTGAGGAAAGAGAAAAGGCTGGGGAAAATCTGAGGCCCTTTTCGAAGAGTTTACATTCATTGCTTCTTCCACCACATCATTACGCATAGATAGTAGATTAGTAGGCTTTCGTACGGAGTGCAATCCCAACCCCACTCCAATTATTCATTTTTCTTACCACAGATTGAATAGCTTCTTCATCTCTGCCTTGCATGGGCATCTTTTTATTTTGGCTGAGCCTATCTTGTCCTGTTTCACCTGCAATTTTTCCACTTTCTTCGATTCTTGGGAGTGTCCATGATTCTCAATTAAGTGTTAATGTGAATATAAAGAAGTTAATTTTTTTTAAAATAAAATTTTAAATTTAAATATTATAAATAAAAAAATTTAATTATCTTTATATAGTTAAATTTCTTTAAAATAGTACATATTAGTCTTATCTTCCTGAAAAAAAAATTTGTTTTTGCATTTAGACACCAATATTAACAATGTTCAACCACGTTCGTTAGTTTCTACATATTGGTTTCTAAATGCAGATACTTACATTTAATAAAATGATTTTTTGAATTTTAAAATAAGTTTTAATTAAATAAAATAATATGATTTAAGATTAAGATTTTAATCTATTTTAGGAATGAGGACTGATATATATTATTCCTAAATTTTATACTCTCTCAATTAATTTTTAGTAGATTTAGTTTTTTATTTGAACTGTTTGAATTTAGTTGTTTATTTTTACTTTTTAAGTTATTA